AACCGAAATGAGTGCATTGCCATAACAAGCGAATTTCTGCCATTCATTCCTTTTTGAGGGCTTTGAGAACACCGCGCATTTCTTATTCAACAGTCGTCAATGGTGTTTCATTAGTCTCTTGTTGTTCACGAAGTTGAGTGGGACAGCAACGTTGATGGAACCGCAGAAGCATGGTTTCTCGGTTGGGATCTTTTAGTGTTCAAGTTTCTGGGAGCTGTTGCAGCTGGGTTCGTTTGGGCGCTTGGTCGGGTAAGCCACAGACAGGAGCTCCGAAGTGCTTTCAGGTAATGAAAACAACGATTTGTCGAAACGTCGACCAATAAAGCGGTTTCTACCATGACAAACCTGTACGGCAAACAGCATAACACATTGTACAACATGCCTAGGTTTCACTAAGACCGAACGTAGAAGTCTCTTTTTAGTGTTTTAGTCTAGCTGCTCGACTTTCCCCAAGTGATACCATGGATATGGCTGAAGAGAAAATGGCTGGATTTTTCTAAAATGAGAAAGAAAATCTCATTCGCATAGCGCGTTCTGTGAACGGAGCAATAATGGCGTTTTTGACGGGTCTCACGACTGGTGTAATTGTTGACTGGAGACACATTAAGAGCAGTGTGACGGGAGAAAAGTGACGAGCTGGTTCCCTACGATCGCATGGGACTCGTTCCATCACATTGGTTTATTTATCCAACGGGCAGGTCTCGCGGTTGTAACACAGGTGGATGTAGCAACTCCCAGTTGCTTTATGGGCGAACGTAGCAATTAAGTCAGAAGAAACAGGAAAAAAGGATCCCAAGGAAGTACAACAGGGTACAATCCCCTGCGATAAGCCTCTCGCAGGTGATGTAGACAGCTAGATCTTCTGTTACTCGCTTATTCTGCCAGCGTCGTGGGCGGGTTTCCTCTGTTTTTTACTGGCTAGACTTCATCCTCTTGAAAGCTCATTCCTTCTCCCCTTGAAATCCATCCCTAGTGTTCCTCAACGTTCCCCTCGCACACCGTAGATGGGATTCACGGTGTCGCTCAAAGTGGGCTGGATCGGTCTTTGGGATCGGAATGACCAGCTTCCAATACCCTTCGCTTGAATTTCTCTCTTTCGGCATGATGCGGCCTGAGGGAGATCTGCTAACAAATTTACGATAGAACACCGTTTGTCTCCCTCACTCGTTCTTCGTTTCTGACGCTATGCTCCACCACGAAATCTTCCAGAGGTCCTTTGTTCACTTTCAACGCGGCAATCAGGGTATTACCCGGGACTGTGAGATAGTCCCTCTCTAAAACGGATCTTCGTTGGTTTCTCTGGCTTCGCACCCTTTCCTGCACGTCTTAGAAAACATAGAACATGAATGTTTCTGCACTCTATTGAATCAGCTACCGCTCGGAACTTCCCAGTAAGGGATCTCTTAGCAGAACATCTGAAAGTGAAGGTTTCTATTCTGATTCATTTATTTAATTGAAGTCGCTCAGTCGTCTCCTCGCATGCTGTCTACAGAACTCGGACGGAGACTTTGCGCCACTTCCGGGTGACATCCTAGCTTCTATCCTGATTCTTTTAGAGACTCTTCAGTGATATTGTGACAAGATTCTTCCATCAACCTGGGCCTGGCGCTGGTACCGACACGACTTTTTTGCATTTTCCGTAAGGCATTGATTTGCCGCGGCGAGGATAGAACGCGCTCTTTTTCTGATCAAGCAGACATGAGCCTACACTTTAACCGCTCGGCTACCTCTGTACAGTTTCTACGGGAGGATATTCTTGAGAAAACTTTTGGACGCTTACTCTCAATTTTCAAATCAAAGCGCTGACGAGGCGCATGGTAATAATGTCGTCTCTAAGCCAAAGTACAGCAATTCCTAGGTCAGTCAGCAGCCGATAATCTTGTTTTATACTAGAGACATCTGCATGGTAGGGTTATCAAACGTTCTTTCAACAAACAAACTCCTCGTTCACTTACCTATGATAAAGGAGCTCTCTTTCTTAATTGGTGAATATCCAATTTTGTGCCTCCAAACGAAAGAATTTCTTCAAATCACAGGAACGACCTCTCTGAAGGCTCAAAATACAATCATTCCGTCAGAGACCGAAGCAATCAGGATAAGGAAGGATGAGAGGAAGGAAAACGTCAAATCTTTATCAAGCATAATGCTAGGCGCATAATACATAAAGAATATCTGACACATATTCAACGAGCACAAAAACATTCGTCTTCAAGTCTGAATGTATTTCAAAAATGATTCGATAACATCAACCCTCTTCGAGTGTCACATTGAACCATGTAAATCTTGTTTTCATAGGAGCAAAAATTGAGAAGTCATGACTCTTGATTGTTGAGTTCGGTCACCATCAAATAATGCTTTACTAAATATGAAATCACATCGTAGGTAAGGAGAAAATGTTCCAAAAAATAAACTCTTGATACGCTCAAATCTTTTGAAGACAGTGCACCACACGAAACGAAAAATGCTCTTCGCCTGCTTGCGCTGGTAATTGAGTTGCTCGCTCTTGCACTATAAATGTACTCATTCCGTGCTGATCTGATTCTATTTTTCTTCTATCAAAGGGAGGAAAAACCCGTTCTCTAAACTTGAACGCTTACTTCCATTGCTTCTGTTGGCATAGTGGAGCTCTTATTGAATCTATCTTTCCCTTCTGATAGGTTTTGAAGAGTTGTCATCATCAAAACTATGTAGCTAGGTACTCGAAAAATTGCTTGTGAGGGAGCGTGAAAGCAGTTTGAGCAGTTGCAAATTGGTCTTTCTACGCGCATCCTCGAATTGAGTGCATATTTAGCTTATTCCGTATCGTGTGCTACAGCACGATTTTGTAATGAATATGTCAATAATGTCGATGTCGATAAAGCTATTTGGCTTATTTGGAATGAATCTGTATAATGTCGTACCCCTGTAATCTGGTCAATGGGCGAAGAAATTCTTGCCAGCCGATGAGGAGCAGACCTAAGATAATTCTTAGCGAGTGAACCTCCGCTGTGTTGTTAATATTGATCGCATTATTGTTCATGGTTAATCCCATGAAAGTTCCTGCTTCCGCACATGATTGTCCATCATCTATCCCTCTGCTGATGATGAAAGAGGCACAAAGTCTGTAGGTTGTAGAGTAGACACATAGGACAGCAAATGGGGAAGTCAAATCTCACTTCATATGCAGCAGTACAGTCCTGCAATTACTCCACTCATCGGCTGTCTTGCTTTTTCGCAAAAGGGGGTTGACAGTGGAGTACCACTACAACAAGAGCTTTCTTCAAATGTTTCATTTAACAAGAACTGTCTCCAAATGGGTAGTTTGGCTAGTGTTGCTATCATGATGTTTGGAACCGCAACAAGCTTCATTGACAAAAGACAGTGAGTAATCAAATTGGTTAATGGCTGGCTTTCGCAGGCAATTTGACTTCTGAGCACGAACATCACACTTGCCAGGCTCAACGGTGTCCTCCACTCCTCCCAGTCGTCCGCATTTCTAAGACGTTTAACGATGTTCCTTACCGAGTAGATGCTGTGATCAATTCAATATTCCTCAATACTCTTCTCACGCAGTAGAGAACCCCTTCCGTCATGACTCATATCGGGCGCACTGTACTTCAAACATTGAACGTAATGCATGTGGTATATGATTTGCCTAGGATCAAATTGATGGATTGATCTAACGAAGATTCTTTATAGCTGGTCGTTGTGTATGTGATCATTGGCCTTGCCGTGATCACGGCATCATTGGATCTCTGTTCCTCTACATTGAAACGGACCTTCACCAAGCTTCACTATTTCGGGAGGAAAATCCGTGGTGCGAGAAGGGGCTTTGCTAACATGAGCGATGATATAAGAGAAGCTATGAGAATTATCGCTGCTCTCAAAAAAACAAGGTATTCTTTTGAATCATATTTACTGCTTTGCAAAACCTTTTAAGACTCAGACGAATAGGCAACATTAAGGCCGAGCAAAGATCGTATTACGCTGGACGATTTGAAGCGCTTCTTGGAAGTTCAGGAACATTTGCTACGTCAGCCCTATGTTCCTTGTAATGTTCACATGATGCGATGGATAGAGGACAATGTAGGACCACAAATGGTATGCTCATCATCTTCCATCCTTTCCAGTGTTTTACAGAATTTATTACTGCTTGCAAATCTTCTCAACCGAAGGGTGTTCTGGCAGTGTCACGTAAATCAGGTTTTTTAACTACGATGATGAATCTTTGTTATGTATTTGCGGCATAACAGAAAAGGTGGTATAATGTTAAGCAATCCCATTTCACCTCGTTTCTGAATGTGTATTCGAGCTGTGTATCAAATCTTGCATTGACATACCTTCCCTCGGAAGCCGCTAGCTGCATAATTTTGTGGTCAGATCGTTTCTACGGCGGAACACTGTTTAGCCTCCGAGCCATTTTCCATGCTATTTCTGACCCATTCGACGATGGTAAAACGATTCTTGGTGACGATGTAGTTGCAATAGGGGGTGAGAGTATGGGGAGCACGCATAACAGTTTAGTATAACAAGAATCTGACTTGGCTCCATTGTCAGCCTGTGATATAGTACTAACACTGTGTCACAGGAGGTGGAGGAACGAGACCGGCCTTTTATACGTTCTTATGCGGTCCCGGAGATGAGGATGTAGTTTTTCAACTAAGCCTCAGGCGGGAAAGAGCACCGCGGTGGATGAGATGACTAGAAACTCACCCACCTTCGCCAAAACTGCATGTCCGTGTTCTAACACGGACTAACATATCTTAACATATCTCCCCTCGGAAGCCGCTAGCTGCATAATTTTCTGGTTAGAGCGTTTCTGCGGCGGAGCACTGTTGGGCCCCCGAGCCACTTCCCATGCTATTTCTGACCCTCCCGACGATGACCGTATGAATTCCTTGATGTACTATCACTGTTCTTCCCCCCCCCCCCCCCCAGCCACGACATTTCTTTTCTAGGCCGTGTGCACTCAGCAGGTAGATGTTTCGCACCTAGAACAACATTCGACAACTGAGGCAGATTGTGGGGAAACTTCTTTTGCCACTTCCATCAATGTTTGCCCCATATTCAAAGACATGTTAGGAATCACAGCTCGAAGTTCCCAGAAAATTCCAAAAATTCGTGAACCAAATCAGTGTCCGGACGCTTTGACCGGTGACTAGCAATCGTGAATGTTTCGCTTGCTTGGAGTTAGGGGAAACTCTCGAGTGCGTTATTTTTGTACTACTGCACTGCGGTATCAATGGCGGTATACTTTTGATTGATGCATTTTTTCCATTTGTCTGGAAGGGAGTTTCGTCAAATAGCCGATGTGTAGAACAACAAATCGGGAGCACATATTCAGGTCCTGTTCTGGGTTTTCCCAAAAGCATATATCCTACTCCTCTGGCTCGGTGTGCTGAATGGGTTTCAGTACCATTCTGTGATCATATATCGAAAAAGCATACATCGTTTCTCATTGTGCCCGTAGTGGAAACTGACTGAAGTGACTGGAGTCTCCGTCACAGAGCCCAGCTCTCAGACACGAGAACTATTTAGGGAACCACGTACTACACTTTTGGTCGCGCATATTGCTTCCCGATTTTTCCTTTTTTTTGCGTTAACTTTTATAGATCTCTTTCATAAAAAGAAATCCCAACCTGAACTGTGGGGAGTAAAACAATCTACACTAGCTGTCGAGTCCACTGCCATTGCAGTCAGAATTTATTAGAGTCATTATTAAGGTACATGTGCACGAGATTTTTCAGATTAATCCTCCTCTCTGCTGCAGGAGAAAAAAGAAAGCATGAGGTCGCACATCGGAGCCTATTACTGAGGAAGTTCACCTGTAATCTTTCCTGTTGAAGGGGGAAATCTTGGACTTCTATATAGTGCGCACTGCCTATCAGATAAAATTCGAACGCCCTATCAGTAAACAATTGCGGTTCTACTTTGCAAATGTGTTCAGAGGGTAAAAGTTGAAATATGCAATGTGCTAGGGCAAGCCAATAATTTCGGCAATCACTCAATAATTTTTTCAAACATTTTTAGGACAGGAAAAAGAAACTTACACTGCTATCAATCGCGCGCACCTTGCTATTCCCCACACCTGGTCGCTGCACAAATTTTTAGAAGGCTTGAGACTGAAAACATGCCACGAATTTACGGCGTCATTCATTTATTTATTCAAGTTAGAGTGATGACCCCCATCCCTCATTGAAAGAGGCAAACATGTTCACTTCATAGGTCGCGAAGAGCGTGAGCTTTGTACTGAATCTTCTAGACTTCCCAGTAAAGAGAGCAAAAAAAAGAGGACGGACATGATTGCGTTGAACTGGTACTCGGCGGCAATGATACTAAGTCCGAGACCTGAGGCATGCTCAGTAATGACATCAATGGCACAATGCAACGGCCCCCTAACCGAGTGATAACAGAAACACAAATAAACATGCATTGTGGTTGTTTATCTTTATTCACGCTCATACGTTGTTGGCGCGATCGCCGTCATGAAGAGCACACCAGTCCTATAGAGAACGGTGTGTTTTGTGAGCTTTCACTCATCTAACATTTTGCGTGGATACAATGAGCAAGCCGTTCTTTTAACTTTGAAGTTATTCGCATTATCAAGTGATGAATGAGGGCAAAGTAAGTGGCCTTGTAGAAGATAAAGTTTTTTGGCATTCTATGTGCGTTTTGAAGGAGGGTGGTCGGGATAGTGCTTTCTACTTCAGTAAGGTCCTTTTTTCAAGGCCTCTCCAGAAATTCTTGAAAAGTTCCGAAAAAAAACGAGGAGCAAGTTCGTAATTGAGGACTACAATATCTTCACATTAAAATACTGGCAATGAAGACACATATTATCCCTTTTACTCCACGACGTCACTTGCTTTCCTTGCTGCGTTAACTGTGCATTTTCAGCTGACCCTGCTTTTTGTGAAGTTTGAGCGCTCATTATTTCATTCGGAAACATTTAGCAGCTTGATTCCTACATTTTGAACAGCATCCCAAATTTTATCGGTATAGCTGAATCGTCATTTCAAAACGCACTGTTGATGTCGTAAGAAAAGCAAGTGATGTCGTGGCGTAAAAGGGATGTGTGATATTTATGATAAAAATGGTTTCTGAGATTACCCTATGGTATGAATTCGAGGCTTCCCCTTATACCACTCCTGTCGTAACAAGGGCGAGAATCGTCCTGGATAGGACACAATAAGGGACCAGAGATTGTGTCGTGGGAATGGCACACCCCCAGTAGACTAGTTTCAACGGCTTTGTAGAGAGGCTGCACTATTCATAAGGGGACCAGAGTAGGAAGTTCAAACAACTTGTCAGGACCCATAGCGACAGTGAAAGGTAGTTTCGGACAATTTCTGCTTGATGTAGCCATCTCTTTGCACGATTGGAGGAAGGTAAATCTTGTCCAAAAACCCCTTACATGCCGTTTCTGTCGTCCGCTACTTTTAAAAAGCTTGAAGTAGACGGATTTTCTCGCTATCTTTTCCGTCGGTGTGCTCCTCTACATCAACCCTTACGCTTTTCAATCTAAAAAGGGTTCAAATTATCGTGAACTGTGCCTTTAAAATATGACTTAGATTCTAACCTAGCGTAAGTTTTTTGCCAATCCGGAATTTCACTTCTTGCTACCAAATACTTGGATATGAGTCGGTAATCGGCGATTCTTTAGTGGAGCTGACATAGATCTACTTGTTTTGCGAGTAATCACAGTAATGCATTCAATTTTAATCCACATAGTGACAGCTGAATGATCACGAAACAGCCTGATGAGAGACAGAGCTATAAGGCAGTATGAAGACGCGGCACGCATTTGTCAATGGGAAGTGTGCTACATTTCAAGGTAAACAAAGCTGCTATCCATCATGCTGATAGTTCTCTCGAGCGCCGTCTTCTCTATACGACTTTTCTTCTGGCCCATTTCCTCCATAATAAGTGAAGCAATCGGAGTCGTAAGAGCTTCGGCATGATGATTTACGCTAGTTGTTATCGATCTCCTCAAACCATTCAGTCCAATTCGAGCTTCATCAACCCAAGAAACTTTTCAGAAGACTCTATCTGACTGATCCAATTAATCTTGTGTTTCAGTATGCTCAGTATTTGGATGACATATCATTGAATGGTAAAAGATCGTTGAGTCCCGTTGCACTATCTCATAAAATGTCAGCGAGTGATCCGATGCTGTTTTTCTAGATAAGATCTGTGTAAATGTTGAGATACAGTATGATGCACATCATTGCTTATGTATGAATATATAGATATACTTATATACATATACTATATAGTTTCCAATTTCTGCTCAATGTGATCTGTTACATAGACTCACAATTTTGATGAAAGTTTCCTTGAAGGGTAACGATTGTAATAAGGCATTACTTATGTCGAACATGATCCCAGTATTTTTGTAACGATGTCTTGAGGCTGCCTATTCCATGCTTTTCCCGTTGCACAAAGATGTGTTCTAGATCAAATTGAAGATAGAGTTAGATTAGATTTTTCCACTAGTAACATGCGGCATAACGGAAAAAGGTGGAATTATGATGCTTAGCGAATTGAAAAACTGTTACGAAATAAAAAAATATTTGTTACAGCAACTCTGCCTCTTAGCAGTAGTATTCAATGCCAAGGATCGAAGCAATTGTTATAGCAATCTGTGAAGGTTGGTGAAGGCTTGAAGAAATGAGCGTTTTGTAAGGCTGCAGACAGAACTGATACGTGTTCATATTAGCAGTGAGGCCATGGCTCCCTGATGTGATGAACCTGTAAGAAAAGAGGAAGAATTAAAACAACCACGCTTGTCAAGGAATGTCGGGGGGAGGAGAGTTTCGTTGATCCTATCATCTTGAGAGTAAATGTTAAGCACACTGAATTGTGTTGCTGGAATATAGAAGTATGCAACAAAAATGCTGAGTCAGTTTTATCGAAAAAAGGAAGGGTGAAGGTTAGCTAAGCACTGCGATTTTGTACCAAAAAGGGAGATCTGAGGGCCATGTCAAATCATCTGACCAGGTGTAGGCATCAAGCAGGATAGGCCCACCAGATCCTTATTTGCTTGTCACACGAGTGAAAATGTGAGGGTCACGGCAAGATACATGGTATGAAACGCATACTCAACTCTTGGTACTCCTACACTCGGCAGAGGTGTTATAGTGGCATGTGGCGCACTAACACGCACTTATGATCAGGATTAAAATCTCGGATCTATAATCCCTGAGCCAACCGAG